GATCAGGACAAGTTTACAAGATGATGCAGAAGAGGGATACATTCTCGACGGGCGTGAAATTTCGAATTTTGGCAAGAGTCTTACGAATTGAGCTTTGTGCGCGGCAAGACTTCGCTTGCGAGAGTGCAGCTGACACTATAAACACAAGCAAACGATGGAAGGTGTTGTGGTCCGCCTCCTGGTGGTGTTCTCTGGTATAGTTTGAGTAGCCTGAGCACCTACTCCACTTGAGAAGGAGACGCCTCAGACCATATTTCGCGCAGAGAAAAGTTGAAAGATGATAGAGGCATGTCTGGATAACTCAGGATTTTTGAAATGTTCCCCTGAGTGGGTATTCACGGATGAGGGTTGACTTGGGGTGAAGAAAAAGCCACCATAACTTCGCAGTGGTACTTGCAAATGAAATCTGAGGTATGAGTGCTCCTCTTGTAAATTTAGTCATCTTTTCTGTACTTTTTCTTTGATATTGTGTCATAGCTAGATAGCTGTATGCGCAATTAAAATCCCAAAAAAAAGAAGTTGGTTGGAGCTGTTATACAAAAAACATGTTCTGCCGAGGCTTTTCTGACATTTCATGGCGACCTTAGGGAAGGAGGCTTCAAAGGCAGCTAGTAATTTTTCTTAGGTACCCACAAGCCGGCAGCACTGAGCTGGCCAGCCTCTTTGAATACCTCGGAAGAGTGGCTATGTCTTCAGGCTTAGTCCTGGTGTTGGTGTTAGGAGAGCTCCACACCCAGTGGTCTTTGCAGTTTTTCCCGGCTGCCATTAACCCGCAGATGGCCACTCTTCCGTCGGCTAGGGAGGGAGTTGGTCAAGGGCAGAAGGTATTTTTTTTTGCATCAGATTTTAATTGCGCATACAGCTATCTAGCTATGACACAATATCAAAGAAAAAGTACAGAAAAGATGACTAAATTTACAAGAGGAGCACTCATACCTCAGATTTCATTTGCAAGTACCACTGCGAAGTTATGGTGGCTTTTTCTTCACCCCAAGTCAACCCTCATCCGTGAATACCCACTCAGGGGAACATTTCAAAAATCCTGAGTTATCCAGACATGCCTCTATCATCTTTCAACTTTTCTCTGCGCGAAATATGGTCTGAGGCGTCTCCTTCTCAAGTGGAGTAGGTGCTCAGGCTACTCAAACTATACCAGAGAACACCACCAGGAGGCGGACCACAACACCTTCCATCGTTTGCTTGTGTTTATAGTGTCAGCTGCACTCTCGCAAGCGAAGTCTTGCCGCGCACAAAGCTCAATTCGTAAGACTCTTGCCAAAATTCGAAATTTCACGCCCGTCGAGAATGTATCCCTCTTCTGCATCATCTTGTAAACTTGTCCTGATCCCTCTCACGACCATCCCAAAGAGCCATCTCTCAGATTTGTGCATCACGCTTTCTTTCCTCCATCGGGTATAAATATCGGCGAGGGCGTGTATTTGGTGACCAGCTTAGGCCAGAGAATAGCCAATGAGAGGTGTAGTCGCTGAAACGAGGATGTACTAGGTCGTACTTGTAAACTTGATGAGGTTTCTGTGGAGATCGATCTCGTTGGGTGGGAGAGTTTGATTTCCTAGATAGTCTTGAATCATAGCCACGTGGGCCAACTTCTTTGGAATTTCGAAATTTGAGTAAACTTGGCTCTAGGGGAATATTCCACTCCCACATTCGTGGAGTACATCGCATACAGTCAACCAACTTCATTATGATGTTTAGGGTAACGGAGAATGCTGCAGACTTATCGATGTTAGAAGTCTTTCTAATTTGTTACCCCAAACCATTGTCTTGAGACCAAAAAAGGGTTGAAGTCAAGAGCCCTAGAAATTTTCAATTCTAGCATACCTATGATTGGTCTCTTCTCTTTATCGTTCCATTTCCCAGCTGCCTATCTTCCTTCAATTATAGAGCCCCATTAGAGCAACAATCCCCCATAGACAAAGACCCAGGCTTTGCATACGATTACTTATTTACTCCTTGCGGAAATACTTAGTGACGTGAATTTTTTGATGATTGTTTGCCGTTAATTTATGAGCGAAGCCCCGGTTAACAATTTAAGTAACAACCTTATCGGTCGTCGAGGCGAGGTCATGTATGGTAAAATTGAGTTACAGGAATCTCGTGAAAATGACAAGAGCTATATTGACTAGAAGTTGCCGATTATTTATATTTTGGTGTCTGCTTTTGAATTCGATTCGGATGCGATTCTTCTTGGCTATCCCAGATATGCAGAGCATACTGAGCGATTACACCGGCACCACTGGAAGGTGAAGAATTCATCTTTGCCGGCTACCTTGTTATTTGATCCCGCGATAATCCTCCAGCTACTTATCTACCGACGCTCGTGGGACCCCTCAGATATTCTCTTTCCCCAAAGTCGTTAAAAAAAAATTTCATTACATCCTAAGATTATATCCGTATTTTTTTTGATTCAAGTTGATGAGTACATGGTCATTATTTGACTACTTTATCTGAGGGGGGCTATTCTCAACAGCCATCAGTGGTGTCCTCTATGAACCTCCAGCTCTCACTGTAGAGTCTACAAGGCCGAGATTGAGTAAAAAAGTCCTCACTTCGATGGAGATTCCCAATCGCTTTCGCCGTCTGTATCGTCTTCATCGCTCAACACATTCCCCTATCACCATTTTCATGAAGCTGACCACCATTAGATCAGATGGTGGGGTCGGAACCCTACTCATCACCAACCCTTGATCATGGAGGAACAGCCATCCGAAGAGTTTCCGGAGCGTACCCAGCACCCAACACGGAGATGGTGGATTGGATCAAGTCGGCCTCGACTGTTACAAAGAAGGAAGATAAATGTGAATTTGCGCACTTTATGTGGTCCCGGTGTCTAGGCCTCGCCTGGCTGGGGTTGCAGGTTTTTGGGACTTTTTCCCGCGCACGCAATTTCCATTGCGACCATTTTTTTTGGGTAGAACGTTCTGTGGAAAAGGTGGCCGAATTCCACGGGCAAACACTGGGCTGAATAGATATTCATCAAGGGCAATATATCAATAATCTTTCGAGAAACATGAGAGGCAAGGAGTACTGTACAAGGTATGACCTGGACCAATGAAGAGTCTGATATGCTAGATAGTCTATGACTTAACCAGTACAAAAAACTCACACGCTCCCTTATTTACAAGCTAGTTGGTCCCAATTCAAGACACTAGAACATGATTAAATGAATAATTTGTTTTTTCCTACCTCGTCTTAATCAAACACTAAAGTGCACCAATTCGATTAGGCTTTGTATTAGGGTTCTCTGACGTAAATTTTGAGTTCCCCTCAAGAATCTGCGAAACGCGTTGAGCCGGATGGTTTTATAGCGGTGGTGGTAATTGGTGGCCACGGTTTGTTTATTTGAAACGTATACATAACCCTGCATTCCTTGGATATCCCGGTGAAAACAAAAAAAGAAGAAAAGTTGTACTGAAATGGCGTCGAGATCCATGTCAACAATAACTAAAGAGACTAATGTCCGTTAATATCTATCAGAGTAGATTGAGAGAATTACGAGTTAGATTGTCTCGTCAAAGTGGGTCCAGAGGTGTCGTTGCGTGTATCAAGAGTTTGTGGAGAAATATCAAGTGAATGGATACCACAGAACATAAAAGAGAGATTGTCTGAGCGAAGGGCCTTGCTCAGTGCGTTCCAAAAAGGGCATCCCGACTCTGCCATAGGCCATGGCGCAAGGCTGTTTGATGGACAAGGACACGGTCAGATTATCAAGTTTCCGGACTAGTTCTTTAAAACCCAACTCACATTAAAATAATTGTGTGTATATGTGTGATGAGCGCATATTTTGAAAGGTTAGACTCAATAAATCTCGGCTTGCTGGCAGCAACCGGTATTGATAACAAAGAAGCTCAGATGGGATAAGCATATTGATTACTATGATGACATAATAAACATTAGCTGTTTCACTGGTCAATTTAGCGCGAGAGGATTAGACGTCCGTAGAGCCTGATCCACAAAGATGGGCTTATGCTATCATCACGGAATTCAGTATGTGCTCTATTACAGAAAGAAGTGATTAGAATCACTGATATTGAAAAGACTACATATTAACTGCTCCCATCAAAGCGTCTTCTCCTCAAAACCATCCCGATACCAACGAACCCCTGTTGATCTTGGAGTAGAATTCTTTCCTTTTCAGGTTTACGTTCACAAGAAAGGGGTTGTTAGAGCCATTCATCCGTCTCGATTATGGCGAATTGTATTTTACATACTTCAAGCTGATGTGGACTTTGAAATTTTGAAAATTAATTCGCCATATCCAGAATCAGAATTTGTTTGAAGTTTATAGACAGATATAGATGACCAGGAATCATTAGTCAATGTTGGCGACCGAAGTATTGAACGATCACTTCTTCATATTTCTAGTTCAAAGAGAGGAGCAACTCGGCATAGCCCCCAGTACACTAACTATTCTTACTTTTGCTATCCCAGTCAATGTTTCATACATTATCTGTCCTATTTACTGAAACCAGGCGATTTTTCTCTGCATTTACGCTGTCTAGCATCTAGATATTTACTCTTGACTCCGAAATACCCAATCGGATAACAAGCTAGATCTTCGCGGGTGCCCTGGCTTGAGCCCATGAGCGCGCAGAGAAGCATAGCGCTCCACATCTGAAGCGTGATAAGCTCCAGCCCGTGCAATAATAGGTTTCAAGATACATCTAGTTTCTCCTGATCTTCGTGATTCGAATCCGATGCCAGATTTGAATGACCCTTCTGTAAATCTCGCATTCGTTACACTAATTCCAGAAGTGAGGAAGTAACTTCATCTTTTACCAGCGCTTTCTTCAGCTTTTTCGTGCGATTGAGTCAATAGGTGACAACTTATTCCAGAAAAAAAACAACTAATACCAAAGTTCCCATTTGGTCAGTCGACGGCAACTAATTTGGTCATTGAGGTGTAAAAATTAGTCTCTGTGGTCTAAAAGCTTCCCTGAATCATTCTCATTGGGATTCGAAATCATATTCACACAAAAATGTCCCGTCCTAACGAAGAGCTTCCGTTTACAACTCTACGCCTTTCTTCCTCGCTTGACCTTCATCGCAGCCGTGAATATACAGATCATGATGCTTCAGAATCTTTCCTCAAGCAACAATCCTACAACTACAACCAATCAACTAATGACGATATGCCTCTCTCACAAAAAGCAAAGTCGCAGGAGCGCCGCTCACGCCTGGAGATAGCAATGAATTGGGTGCGCTGGAGCGTAGTGGTGGTGATGCAATGTTTGACGATAGTCATGCTTCTGCCCACCAGCGGCGCATTAAGTCAGGAGGGATGGGCAGGGAAGTTGATTAACGGTTTAGGAGGAGGAGAGGCCAATTCAAATCGGGGTAGTGGGCGGTGTCACGCGCCTGGCAACGATAGTCGAGAGGTTTGGAACCTTAGCATGACGGAAATTGGAGGCGACGTAAATGGACTTTTTGTTCCAGGTGAGTACCAAAATCCAGTGTATAATGGATATAAAGATATTTCGTATCTTTCCTGACGCCTCTGAGAGTAGCCCTACCCAAATTTATATCGCTCGTGCCTGAAGTGGAGCGATTTGTACCTAACATGACCACCAATGACACACGCATGGAAATCCGGGCGAATTGGGACCAGTTGTTGCCAGGTGAGAACAAACTCGATCTGATATGTCCAATCTAACGGGACTCCTCATGCAGCTGGTGGTGGGAGCGTGTCGATCCCAGACTGGAATTCGTATCCTCTGCTTGGTAAGCCATTAAACCAAGACTCTTCCAAGGGCAACTCGACGTATGAGGTTAGCTGGACCCGTGCTCTCCGCTGTCTTTACTTTGTTATCGACTCCTATCATCAGCTGACCCTCTCGAACGGGTCGCTTTCTGGCACGACAGCCACGCACGACGAAGCTCGCGCAGTAGAATGCTTCGAGTACATGCGCAGTCACATATTGTGTTCAGCAGACATGACGCTCGAGGGCGAACGCACAGGAAGTGGACAGGGCGGGGAATCTCACATGTGCCGTGACCGAGACGATGCGATTAAATGGATTGAGAAGAGACGAGTTGGTGACAGTAAGAGCATTTTTTAACACGCGAGAATCAACATGCAGCTACGAATGTAACAGTCGCGGCCGATAGAGTGAGGAGTTTATTGGGCAATGAGTACAAATGGAGTTTTGGGGAATCAAAGGGTAATAAATTCAATGTATAAATGTGCTAGATCCATACTATCGCTTCCGGCCTCATACGAGTCGCTTTGTCGATTCTGTGGGTACGTTTGAATGAGAAAACACCAGACTAGTATTCTTCCGAACAGAGCTTTGCCCGTCCCTGAGATTATCAACCAATAAATGAAGTGCAAAGGCTTTCCTGTCCAATACAGACATAAACTCAGTTGCTGAAGACTAACAGTGGTGATGGACGCTTCTGCATGTGTAAATGCGATCCCGACTTGGAGGATTTTCGGTCTTCAGGTGCACCTGCTAACAACATAACAGCTAGCGGTATCTCGACACATTTGCGACGTTAAGGGGTTGCAGATGATTAATTTTCTCTTATCTTCCGAGGGACAGGGCTGTGCGGTAATCTGCAATTTATGAGCCGGAGATGTTCATAGTGACTAGTTATGCCGCCTTTGACTCGGTCAATTTGTATTGGGGCTTTTGAGAACACCTGGTACGGAGTCCTTAAACATTGCTGCCTTCGACACTGAGGAAATTTTAAGTAATGAAATTGACATCATTTGCGGTTCCTAACTTACTGCATTACTTTCCAAGTCGCTTCAATAGATTGCTGACGTCTTTCCCTCACCCACAATTATAATGACAGCGTATCTTGGGACGTATGCAACTAGAATAACTTCGAGAAATAGGTGTATTCATCCTTCTACCCATCGCGCACGTTGAAGTTCTAGTAATGCTATACCCGGGTCTTGAATAGGCTGTTGGATTGACATTGATGTGTGGCTCAAATAATCGAAGCTGAACCAAATTTTTACACAAGTTGAGCTACCTCTAGCCTATCTGATTAGTTTGTCAGGACAGCTCGCAAATTTTATCTTGCTTAGATTTTTTGAGCGGACGTAAATGGCCAGATGTGATTGTTCATGTAACATTTACTACATCCGATTACAGTGCAAAGGAAATAACGGCTAGTGCTCGAAATCCTGGTTTGAGGGTAACCCACACGAATATTAAACTATCAAACTCACGATGGTCCTTTTCACACCCGCAACTCCCAGCATACGTCTTGGCGAAAAGCTGCGTGGTCGGCTTGTCCCGACATTAAGGCATAGTTCTAATATCCAGTCGCAGCTGTAGATTGCATCAAATCGCCAAAATACTGACAAAATGCTGACTGTCTCAAGTACTTCGCCTCTTGTGCTCGCAGCGCTTGTCGCGAGTTTGACCCCCGAATTTCCATGCTCCCAACCTCTGGATCATGTCTTTTGAGAGATATGCACGCGATACTTGATCCAGCCTGGTGTCATGTGTCCCGATGCCTTTTGCGCCACACTAGATAATACGACCGACAATTCCTTGAGTGCCAAGGACTTGTCTCCTCCCTGCCCTCAAGTGGAGCTTATACCTTGATACGACTGTTGTTGAGCCATGAACAGTCTAAACACGCCATCCAACATTTTTAAATGTCTGGGTCGCAGTCAGATCGACATCTAGGCAAGGGCGTTACCATCGGTAGTGGCCATTGAGGGGAACAGACAGCTGCTGTGAAGACATTCCCACATTTCATGGTAGCCAGGCTGAAAATTTCGGGTATTAGTTGCTGCCTGATACTAAGAGATCGCCTCATCTGTCGACTTTCAAGACATGGCCGATCGAGCCGTGGCATGACTCGACCGGGCTTCTTGTTCAGGCCGTGGATGACTTATGCGCTTGAGACAAGTTGTGACCTCAACATTAACACTCAAAACTGATCACCGTTGGATAGTTCTGGCAAGCTAGACTAAAACAAAGATTTGGGCGGAATCATAATTGAAGAGACCTGAGGATTTGCCCGTGTAGTGCTCCATTGATTCGCTAGAACTGATGTGCTCCTGTGTGGGCCCGTAGCTCGGCTAAGCAGAAAGGTTGAATCCTCCGTTATTGTAATTATAATCATCACGATAACCATATCGAGTAGCGTTGATTACCAAAATTTGTTTGACTTTAGTCTTGATCGCTCTCCTCCCGATATTGTCAGAGTTCTCCGACAAGCTGCAGACGTCGTCTGCATCTGTCGTCCTCCGATCCTCCACATTCTTAACCGCTAGTCTCTTTACGTTCATGCCCACCTCCCAGCCTGCCAAATAATGATGAGCTCGTCCGAACTACTAAAGTCCATATTTATTGATAATTTAATTTTAATAATTTTTCATCCACTCACTCCCTGCCTACTTTCTCAACCCTTCAAGTTTTCTACCACTACATGCTATCTAGTGTTCAATTGATCGGGTTCCTTACTCACGATCCCACCCTATTAGTCCAAGCTCTCTCTCTCTGTCACCCTTTCCAACACCCCGGCTCAAATGCCCAACTAAGTTAAGGGCTAAATTTAGAGGCTTAGTATTACAACTTCTAACCAACTGCTATACCTCATCTCTTTCGCCCATCTACCAAGCACATAATTTCGCAATACACCCACTGTCGAAAATTTTCACATAAACCTCACACCAATCACTCGCTCTCGCTTCACATCAATCGAAAAACTAAATTCATTCCCGATCTAAGCGTCCAAATTCACGGCTCTTAGATCGTGTTCATATCCGCATCTACTATATTAGTTCACCCCTACAACAGTTATTTCGTCCGATGTCCAGCTATGATGGAGAATGGTGTTAATCCGGACTGGAATCTCCATGCTAGATCTCAATTCAAGGAAAATCTCCTCTCTAACTCGGACCATCAACAGCTCGATTATTATGGTCCACTCCCACCAGGTAGTTACTCCACACCAGAAATGTCATCATCCAAAACTCCATTCCGTTCATCACAGAAACTTTGTTCTACAGCAACGGCTTACGCGTTATCATCTACAGATTTTAGCAAGCCTAGAGAACAGAAGGTCGACCCCTTCTACCAACCACATCAGGGCGTCACATGCCATGCGGGGAATACCAGTATGGAAATACCAGCACCTATATCAAGGCCTGTTCCTTCTATGGTCGGGCTGAACGGAGAAGAGACAACCTCCACTCGACCTTTTTGGGTCACCCGGACATACCTTAAGCCACCTCGATCAGTACCATCCCCCATAGACCGAGATAATAACATCAGATCTTCCTCAGCTCCAAGTGCTACATCATTAATTGGGAAGCCAAGCGTTAAGAATTTACTGAAACGATTTGACGCCAACAATGAAGAATTAATGGCTGTCTCCCCCACTAAAAGTAGGATACTAAGTAGTTTCGATGGCGGTAAAACATTCACGTCTATGAGCTCATTACTGAATTACCACACGTCAGTCGGAACGCAAAATCATTCCAACACCTCTACAAAACAGACTACCGCGACCAATACTGATGTGAAAGAGGAAGAAACAACCAAAAGTAGTCTGAATATCAAGGAAAATAAACCCACTACTTCCATAGAAGCATCCAATCTCGAAAAGTCTATGACAATATTTTCACCTATATTTCACAGACCATTCTTCGAGGAAATGGCTCCTAGTCTTGAACTTGCTTGTATGTCTAATAGAACAACCCAAAAAACTCGGAGTATCAGTGACCCCAATGGGAGTTTTCTAGATTCTGTCATAGTCAACTCTCCACCTACATGGAACTTGGGACGAGTTGGATTAAATGACATAGATTACTCTAAGTCTCACAACAGAAACCATAGCGACTCTGCCGATTCAAAAGCAAATATAATGAGCAATAGAACTCCAAGACATTCAAAGACCTATAGTTCGCCCTCTTCTTCTCCGCTGAGCTCTCGAATACCCATAGCTACAAGTAGACTTGTAAATTCATTATCATCGCCCACGAGTCCAATTCGGAGACACAATTCTCAAATACAGAATGCTCGAAATACCAACTCCTCTGACTTTAAACTGCCGAGAACCCCCTCAAAAAGACAGTCGTCTCACAACTCAGATCGCCATGAACAAAATACGGCCTCCAAGCCCTCCTTGAATACATCTAAGCCTTCAAAGCCTCCCGCACTTGGCTCCCCGCTACAAACTTTGGGTGGAAAACTGCTACGAAAATCATCACAGAGCAGCAGTATTCGGGATACAAATACATCTGTAATGGCTCTTGAAATGGTAGATTTCGTTGCACGTAGACAAACCGTGCACAGAGCCTTTACGAATAGATTAAAAGAGGATGGTCATCAGCATCCAAGCCTAAAAATACATGAAAGGATACTCAACAGCGATGATACAAATTTTGTTGAACCGGAAGAGAGTCGTAATTGCATTGGTGATGACGAGATCGAAGCCTCTTACGAAACTCCTTCACTGACCCCCCGACCTAAATCTTCTAATTCCAACAAAAGGCTACCTTATGGAAGCTGTATCCCATCAAATGAAGGCTGGAATTCACCTGCATTAGCACTGCCTGGATCTTACGTACATGATGACCAATCTTCTCCAGCAGTATCCAGCGTTACTGAGAATGATAATGAACCCCAAATTGAGGCTAAAGATGTTCACCGTAAAACTTCAAATTCGAGTCTACTATATGATTATGTCGCATACACCGAAGATCAAAATAATTTTGGAGAAACCTATGATGGAATAGAACATTTGACCCTGGACTCTTCGCAAAATAGTGTCACTGGTGGAAATATGCCTAACATCGACGAAACAGATTCATCAAAAAGTGACGGAGAAAATCAATCTCCGAAGGCTCTCGAAAAGAAAGACGATGCTTTCAAGACCTCCCATTCTGAATCGATACCACAGTGCTTTAGTCCTACAGTATCACAATCTAGAAGATCCAGTGAAGCTTTCACCACAGATAAGGATGGCGCAAATCAATATTGTTCTCCTAAGATAGTCAATAGTAGCAATCAACGGCAATCTGGCTGTAAAACTGAAGAGTTTGAAAAATCTTTGCAAGTTTCTACGGACGATAGAAGAGATAGCAATACCAGCAGCGATAGCGGAGCTCTTCAAACTCCATTGACCGAGACATATTATGAAGCCCTTGAAAACAGCTTCATTGACCTTAATACCCTGAACAAAAAATCATGTGTTAAACAAGGCCTTATAAAATCACAACATCGTGAGAGTAACTGCGACAATTCACCTGAGAAAAGATTGCTTTCTCATCAAGTTAGCCCACCTAGTCCGGAAGAAAGAGGACCGACACCACCTCCTAAGTCTCCGCAGACTATTACAATATCACGCTCCAATATTCAAATAAATAGTCCCATTCCTTCACCTCGATATCCCAAATCTTTAGTTAGTCCGCTACTACCTCCGCTCGTTACAGGTGAAGGGTTCTCTTTCACATTTGCCCGTAATGATGCCGCAAACTTGAACTCCAGTAAAGCTTCGACTTCTGAATATGCGCAAAACTCATCACCATTCAGAAGATCAGCATCAACTCCAAGAAGGCAATGTACACCTTCACCTGATATACGCATGTCACGCGCAAATACAGGAGCAGCAACTCGGACATTAGAATCCACTTCTTCTGCTTGCGCACCTTATTCTCGGCGAGCTTCCATTTCAACGCCGCGCTCATGCGCTCGTAATTCACTCGAGAAACACGATCCATTTGTAAACCCGAACGAAGATCTCACCAGCCACCCTGAAACAGAAGAAGAAAAGCGCTACACTCAAGAGAACTGCAAGCGCCTATACCAGCGCAGTATGGTAATCAAGGAATTAATTGATACTGAAGCGGTATATTTAAAGGATATGAACGTCATAGAGGAAATTTACAAAGGAACTGCCGAAGCATGCCCAAATCTTCAATCAAGCGACATCAAAATTATCTTCAGAAATACGGAAGAAATCGTAACCTTCTCAGGTAGACTTTTGGAAGACCTAAAATTGGCAGCTTTTTCTATATACGCATCACGTGGTCGGAAAGTAAAAACAAACCCTTCAAATACCTTAACATCTTCGACGGATACTGACGGCTCATCCGTTGCCGCATCTTTGAATGACGAAAGTGAAGAACAACGGGATAGAAAGACTTGTATTGGCGCAAGCTTTTGTAGGCACCTTTCTCAAATGCAAGTGATATATACAGAATTCCTAAAAAATAGTGAAGCCGCCAGCTCAAGGTTGGCAGACCTACAAAAAGACACAGCAGTGAAAGTTTGGCTTGGTGAATGTAATACAGTGGCCAAAGATCTAACCGCTGCATGGGATCTCGATGCACTTCTTGTCAAGCCTGTTCAGCGCATAACCCGATACCAACTACTACTGAAGCAAATAAAATCTACCACACCAGATGACCATCCAGATTGTGAAGCATTGGATACCTGTTGCCAGCAGCTTTCAAAACTGCTTACAGAAATAGATGATCTGAAGAAACGGATTCATGTGGTTGCGAAAATTGTTGGCAGAAAACGAAAAGAATCAGACGTTCGAACTGGAATCGCAAAAGCATTCGGCCGACGAGTAGAAAAATTGAACCTGAACCCTAACCGCACCAAAGATGATGAAGAATATTTAAAAATGTATGAAAAGTTCGGAGACGACTATTTAAGACTCCAGGTCGTCCTTCGCGACGCTGAGTTCTACAGTCGACAAGTTTCTACGTACGTCTCTGATCATTTGCGGTATTTCTCAGCCATGGAGTTAGTAATGCGTATGAGCCCGGCTGGGTATTCGATGATTGAAAGCAAGTGGGTAAGGTTTAACATATCCATGCGAGAGATGGGCACTCACTTCATTGAAGATCATGTAAGCTATGCCAATCACTGAAAGCCCTGGTCTAATAATGTTAGATAAATGAAGTTCGCAAGTTTGTGATTGAGCCCTTTGAGCGTACAATCTCTGCATATAACGGACCCATTCTTGCAATGAAGAAAAGGGACAAGCGTAGACTTGACTACGAAAAGGCTCTGTCTTTGAAGAATACGGGAAAAAAGGTCGACGAGAAACTACAAAACCTTAGCAACGAGTATTCTGCTCTCCATGAAACACTCAAGTGGGAGCTTCCTAAGCTATCTCAGTTAACTGAAACTATGGGAAAATATATTTTGGGACACTTCATTTGTATACAGGAAAAGTGGTACGCTACGTGGGTGAAAAAAATTCGAAATGTTCTCGAAGAAAATGAGCTTCCTAAAGATATCTCAGACATTATCGAAACCTTTCACCGAGATTATAAACATGAGGAGACGCGGATAATGGAACTTGGAATCGTTAATGGAAGCTTTGGAAGTGAGCTTAGCTTCAAGGGATACAAATCTCGATCTCAGTCCCGTCGTGTTTCTGATGTTAGTATCTTGTCACCGCCTGAACATGCAGAAGCGCCATTTTCAAACCGATTGAGTGCGAATTCAAGTGGCTTTCGAGTACAGAGCTCCACGGTGACGCAATCATCTTCGGTTTGTACGCAGGCCTCTTCAGTGGTGGAAGCACACGTAATAACGCGTGGAGCTCCAAGTTCACCGGCGGATCGTTTTACAAGACCAAACACAGGAAGAAGTTTTAACTCTGAAAGTGGTTCCCGAGCTATTAGTGATGTTAATTTTAGAAGAGAATCTGGATCAACGTATGGCTCTTTCCACGAAGGGATAAAGCAAACTTCTCGGCCACATTCTGGTCTTTTCCATTCGGCTTTGCCTATGGGAGAAAACGAAGAAACCACTCTGTCCAGAGGCTCATCTCGAGATAGGAATATATCAAGAGGTTATACTATTCTATACCTCGCCGCATCTCTTTTTGAATTCAACATTAGTGCCACCAAGCAAGAGGCAGGATATCCATATTTAACCTATCAGGCTGGCGAGGTAAGTTATAAATGTAACATCTAGACTAGGCCTTTCTGACCCGAATAGATCTTTGATGTAATAGGCGAAAAAGGGGAGCTTTGGTTGGCAAAAAACCAAGACGACACTACCGATACTGTCGGCTGGATTTGGAGCAAGCACTTTGCTCGGCTCGCGGCTAATTAAATACATTGACTAATGGCGTTGCTAAAACTGATGAGGAGTTTCCGGAATATGAGGACTTTATAAGCGGGATACGGTACAATGGAAGTTGAGGCGTTTACTGAGCGATTTTAAATAGGTTTCTTTTGTAGACATCCTTTGAAATTTATCTGTGACGAGATTTATCTAAGTATAAGGGATATTAGCTGAAAGTCGCCAAGCCGAACTTCTCTTGATTCTTTCGTGGGCGAATAGTACGAAGTTTTACGCGGTACAATAATTACAAGAACTAAACATTTTGAGGTATCATAATCATAATATTGAAGGATGAAGCTGAATTATAATCTTTTTGGTACAAGAATAGTGCAGAGACATAGATTGGAGGATGAATATAAAATTGTAGACGTAAGGTCGTGCGTTGTGTTATTCCAGCTCATCCCTCTTCAATCTTTGAAAAGGATAGCCACTCATCTTTCCGAGATTTAGTGTTCTTCATAAGATTGGATGATATTTTGTCACAGAACTACTCAAGCTCTAACAGAAGCAGAAAAATCTAGTCTCAATCAACGAAATTAACATAGACATAAATTCAATTGAATTTAATAATGTAACATGTGAGGCTAAAGTCCTATACTTGTGAGGCTTTACACGATAACGTTCTTCTGGTGGGTTTACTACAATCATCAAAGCAGGCTTTGTTTGGCCGCAAATTCACATGATTGAAAGAGGAAAGACTTAAAATGGAAATTTTCTGCCCTGACTCGATGCCCTGCGCCTAACCAGCTAAATCAAAACAGTTTGCTCAAATGATCTATTTCCTGGAATCTTTGCTACCTTCGACCTGACTTTGCCCATCAAAACTTTCAATCACGGCAAGAACATAAATTCGCACATGTACGCTCGTCTTATTTATTAGTGTTGATGAGAATCAATAAGGAAGTGTGGATAGTATTGTAAATTTGAGGTTAAGAGAGGTGGTATAGCTACCGGTGATGTATTACACGTTCTCAGAACGATATGATCAATATTGCGGCAGATGAGTATGTAGAATATGTTATGTTTGATCCATCCAAATGTGAGTGAATCACTTTTCTTATATAAATAAATAAATTATTCATTATCCTGATTTGGTGCCATGAGGCCCATGCAGGTCTTTATCGGAAGATATTTTAAGTAGGATGACTCAATTTGACGATTAGAACACTCACACTTAGATTTCTTCTGCAGTACCACTCGAGGTTAACCTTTACGGCGTATAACCTCTTCCGTGCATATCCACCACAGGGAAAGGGTTAAAATCCCGTGACTATCCGAGTGTGCTTTCATCATCCCACAGGTACAATATCACTGCGAGAGAGAGTGGTGTGTGGGTATTACTGGATTCGAACCAGCTTTCTCCTGTCTCGAATGGGGTAGGTGTTCAAACTACCCAGAATCTACTTGGGAGAACGGCCTGAATGGTGTACCACTGCACCATCCATCCCTATTCCTATATACATGTGAGTAAACTACGGATCTCAGTCAAATCATTCTTTGTAATTCTAGATTGACGTTGTCAACTTCCAATCTATATCAGACCATTCTATAGGCATTATTTTTGTTTATGTCTCGCCAACCCTCAATTTATATGCAGAAGTATCCATATTACAATTATAACAGAGGGATAGTGACTTGCCGCCTGGGTAAATAATAAAGCAGTCTAACATTTGACACATGATAAGTAATACCAACAAGATAAATTTACTTGAACAGGTTTGGAGATCAAAACATCTCTTTTTCTTATTTAATTTAAATTTTCTGCTGGTAAATTTCTTCAAGAGAACGACATTTCATGCTATTGATGAATATGATTGCCGGAGGGCAAGACTGAACAACCGTACGCGGCGTTCTCTACGAACTCGGGAGTGAAATATTCTCCCAGAGCCAAGTTCAGTCAAATTTCGCAATACTTAAGAAGTTGGCCCACGAGGCAATAAGTCGAAATACTCCGCTATCTCAATCTTTCACTCCCAACGAAATTGATTCATATCTATGCCTCATCAAGTTTACAAGTACGACCTAGTACATCCTCGTTTTAATGACTACACCTCTCATTGGCTATTCTCTGACCTAAGCTGGACACCAAATACACGCCCTCGCCGATATTTATACCCGACGGTGGAAACAAAGCGTGGCGCTCAAATCTGGGAGACAGTTCCTTGGGATGGACGTGAAAGGAATCAGGACTGGCTCACAAAATGATGCTGAGGAAGTGTGTAACCTTGATGGGCGTGGATTTTGAATATTGGCAAGGCGTTTTACACATTGAGCTATGTGTGCGCGCTAAGATTTCGCTTGCGGGAGTGCAGCTGACACTAAAAACTCAAGTAAACAATGGAATGTGTCGCGGGCCGCCTCCTGATAGTGTTCTCTGGTATAGTTTGAGTAGCCTGAGCATCTACCCCACATAGGATGAAGACGCAAAAGATCAAATTTCGCGCGGAGAAAAGCAAATAGATATGGAAGTATTTCCGGATAACTTAGGGTTTTTGAGATGTTCCCCCTGGTGGGTATTCACGGATGAGGGTTGACTTGGGGTGAAGAAAAAGCCACCATAACTTCGCAGTGGTACTTGCAGATGAAATCCAGGATATGAGTGCTCTGTAAATTGGGCCATTTTTTCTGTACTTTTTTTTGATATTGTCTCAGAGCTAGATAGCTATTTACCCAAAATCTAATGAAAAAAAAAGAATTTGATCGTCGAGAAAGTCCAGAAGACTAAATTTCTAAAGCAGCGCGGCCTCAGAAAAGAATACAAATGTCTAGGCAACATATAACAAGCCCCATAAGAACTCTGGACGGAAGGATTTTATACTCATCGGATTAGGTCAATCGAATTTATTACAAATCGTTCCTGACTCAATCTGTATCATAATCTGAACGCCTCAACAGATCCTATATAAATTAATAAATTCACCTTAAATTCGAGTAGGGTTTTCTGTTGTGCTACTTGAGTCTGTGGCTATCTAATATATTGGGCTCCTCTCTGATCCAGGCCAGATTTTGCATAGAGATCCTATTCTCTTTTTTTACGAACTAAGAATTTCGATATAATTTTCATTATGAATAGACATAATATAGCCCGGTGACGTTGAGTGATAGACTTTATTGGGAGTCTGGAAAGAATGAGTGACACAGGAGGCAATTTTGAGGCAAGCTTTCGAGTTTAACCTTGATCCAGATCCAATGGCTGTAATAGCTACTGAGAGAATTGCTAGGAAATTAGGGTAAGACTAAATTGTTAGTTTGAAGGCTCACGCAGAAGATTCGAACACTCTGCCGTTTAAGGATACATTAGACAGACAATCTACGACTTTTTTGATCGTGAAACTTGCATTAACCATTTCCAGAAATCCCGGGACAGATGAGTAGCTTTTAGCCTCAAAGATATGAAAAGTGGCATCCAGTATCGGTTGTAGCGCCAACAATGGACCAGCATTAGATCTAGGCTGAGAGTGTAAAAATGAAAGTGTTACTTGGGAAGTTCGATAAGAGTTGTTATACTCTTGGGAAATGTCACTTTAGAGGGATTAGGCCCGAAGTTGAACGATCAAATGAGAATGTGGTAAAGTTGCATTGTTATTTGAATTTGATTTCATTGTCCTGATTTGGCGCCCTATGGGCCCATGCAGGTGGCTATGAAACTATCTATATATATACATGAGGGGGAAACCATTACGATAAAAACCTCCTCCCCCTATATAGTATTTATATCTGTGACGGGAACCCCGAGTTGGTGATGATAATGTCGATTTAATAAACCGTATAAAGAAGAAAGAGAAATCTAGCTACAACTAACGGGTATTTATAATATTCAGCCTCTCAGTGATTGTCTTGACTGATTTCTTCACCCTAGGCCGAATACTTGCCACCCAGCCACATATTATCAAGAATCACTACGCTGTGACACTGATCTGGCCCCTTGGCTGGTAGTGCCGTATCTTCCAGTTTCCTCTATCATTTCCTTACAGTCTTACAACATGAATCTTCAACAATACGCTTAGGTATCCACATAAGCTCAGACAACGGCCAAACCGTGACAATATCTGTAGTCCTTCGTTACCTACAGGAAGTGCAATTGGCCATCAGTCCGAGACAGGACTAGCTAAAATTATACTCGACCTCGCCATTCTTTCCCTGCCCTCGAGTGCTAAAAAAGAGTCGACTTTGGTCTTGAGTTTGACCCTGATGGTCCAAATAATTGTGGTGGTGGATTGACCAGGAGCTGTTTGCGCGGGCGTCCTGGCCCTCTCTTTAATACCTCCGGCTTTTGGTGGGATACCAATGTGAACCCTTGGTCGTCTGTTGGTTTTGCCGTAGTTGTTAAAATAGATGCCGTAGTTAGTATTTCGCCTTTTCTGTATTCCGCCATTCTCTCCATTAGTTCATACCGTGCCCGTTGCACGCTGGCATTGTATGCCGCGAAGTGTTGACACGCCCCCTTCTGCCACGATTTATGGTCCTTGCCACAGTTGCAGCAAAGAACCGACTTCCTCGGGCATTCCCTGTTCTGATGAAAGCCCGCGCACTCACCACATCTCCTTACCCTATTGCACGAGGCTTGAGTATGCCCCCATTGACAGCAGTTGAAGCACTGCTTTATTTGCGCTCGGGGTGACCAGAGCTGGGCCGTGTACAGCATTGAGTTGTATACAATGCCGTTTCTTATCACTTCGCGTTGAAGTGCCTCTGTCGGCAGACTCGCGACGATTAACCCTCGAGTATGGCCGTTAGCTCCCATCCATCGGTGCTCCTTTCCGTCGAAAAGCCATCTCACCCTGTTGATTTTTAATTCGGGTATCCGAACTTTTGTTTCCGCCTCAACTTGGTTTATAAGCTCGCCGTTATTTGGATTTTTACCTCCTCTTATAAATGTCCCCAACGGGACCCCCAAAATCTCAACAGGATAATCCTGCTTCAAGACGCAGAACTCCTTTGGCTGCTCCATACTTAAAGCAGCGTCTCGCTGGGAGACCGACTGCACA